TGAGAAAGCATGCAAGCAATCATCCCATCCTTTGACGAATCAAACTCTATGTGGGTAACAGTGTTGGTCGGCTTGGGGACCACAATATTGTTTCCTAGAATAACAATGTTGATTGACTCGAGGGCCACTATCTCATTCCTAGGGTCATCCTAAACGAATTTTCTTTGTTAGAGGATGGATCGACTGTTTTGCGCTTCCCCCTAAGTTAATGTTTATTCTTGCTTGCACGCTTATACTCGTTAAGCAGGCCGTGAATGATAACCTTAGTTGGTATGTTGGTTTGTGACTGGGTGAGATCCTCCATTGAAAGGCAACAATAAAATAATTGAACCCAAAAAAGATGGTTGAGAGTTCAATCAAAGGGGATTCAAGGGAGTAGTTACATTATGAGAATATATTGCTAATTTAAAGCTTATTATTGGAATTTGACTCCCTCATTCTTATTGCAACATAATTTTATAAGATATGAGAGAGTTGGAGAACTAAATATTTACAAGTGGAAAGTGAGTGTCCAAGTCATCATATATTGAACAATCTAGATCATCGAGAAGCAGGTTGTAAATAACACATCAACCAGTGGAAGCCATTGCAGATGAGTAGAAACAATAGAGTGGGCCACCAGACACAACTACTAGTCAAAAAAGTGAAACGTATGAGGTCAAGTCACCAAGACTGAGTGATAGAGGCCGAGTGACCGAACCTGAGCGATCAAGGCCAAGCGCTAAAGACCGGGTGATTAAGACCGAGCGCCTAGAGCGAGTTTATCAAAGCCAAGGACCTGAGACTGAGTGATCTGAACTAGGTGACTGTTGTTCAAACGACCAAAGGCAAATATCAAAGGATGATGAAGCAATCAGGCACCGCAGTCGAATTCTAGGAGGGGACCAGATGACTCGCCATCGCATCAAACGACGCAACTGGGGGTTGACTCCTTTCAAGATTTTAGGTCATGAAAACAATTGTAACAATAATTCAATGGACTCACACTTCAAGGTTTTGGGTGGGATGGGCCCAACTAGTCTTTTCTTGCAAGTCCCAACGACTACAAATAGAGGAAATTTAATGTAAAAAAGGAACCTTTTTTTAGAATCATTTTTCCTAGGAGAAAGAGTTCTCAATACAAGCGCATTTCTTTAATCTCTTTCTCATTTGATTCCCCTATTTCCATTCCTCACAACACTTTCTCTCTCTCTCTCTCTCTCTCTCTCTGTTTAAGTTATATTTCTCGGATGTAATTCAAGAACAAATATGGGCTCAATAGTCATGCTAGTCGTGGGCACCATGCATATTGAATATTTTAAGCATTTTAGGTCATTAACTAATGACAAGGATAAATAATTATAATTATTGTAAACTCATCACTCATCAACAATAGCTTGCAAGGAATTAAGACAAAATATTTAAAATAGGATTTATTAAAAAATTAAATTAGCTACTTGATCTGAATTAGTAGTTTGGATTAATTAAATAAAAGGACTTTGAATAGACTCATCTATTGCAATGTGGCACGTCCAATCCTTTCATAATTTTTTAGGGACATTTACATACATACCACACAATTCTTATTGTATTTACATATCTATCACCTACATTTTCATATTTACATGCATTACACTCAAAATTTTTTACATATCATAATTACTAACTTTTTAAGCTTATGAACCAAAGTGGTAAAATTGTAAACATCAAATATTAGGTGTTAGATATGTAAGTACATAAAAGTTGTGTTGTATGCATGTAAATTTTCCTTTTTTTTAGCAGTTCAACTGAGCTGATTTTTGGACTTAATTCAAATGAATTGAGCTTGAGCATGGCTAACTCAATCCCACATTAAAAATAATTTAATCATGCCTCTGTGTCAAGATATATGTAATGCTGATATTTTTAATGTTAACAATCATGAAGAACATAAATGTTCACCATCACTAATAAGATTGATACAAGCTGTCAATTCTAATGTTGATGCATATCAAAAAAGCTCGTTGTTCGCAAACAGCTCGTGTTCGACTCTTTCGTTAAGTAAACGAGCCGAACACGAATAAGTTTTTAAAGCTCGAATTATAAACGAGTCAAACACGAACAACTCTTTGTTCGCTCGTGTTCGGTTCATTTTAGCTCGAAATAAAAAATTTATATAATTATTTATATAATAATATATTACATATACTATTTATATAATAATATATTGTATATATTTATATCTAAGTTTAAATTATAACATCTCGTTTGGTGATGCAGTTAGTGTCTTCTTTTGCAGTCATTTGGTCCAAGTTCGAATCCAATACTTTACATCTATTTTTTTCAATTTAATTTTACCGACCCAATTTCGTGTCGCACACGAACATGAATAATTAAATCGAGTCGAACAAGAACACCTTGTTCACGAGAAGTTTCGTAGTTGTTTCTCCCCTTTTCATAAAGAAAAAAAATCAAATAGACTACCAATGATCACTTGATAACATTTAAGACTCATTCTAATTCCATCACGAAAAACATTTTTCATAGATCATATCTACTATGTTGTTTGAATGCATTATCCAATTACAAAAAAATACATTCTTTAAAATCTAAGGGCCATACTAATAGAATTATTTCAATTAGATCAAGCCATATATATATTTTTTTTTCTTAATTTTCATACAAAAATTCCCATGTATCATATGAATTGCTCTCATCTTATCTGTTTATATGCAAGATATTTGTATAATGCTAATACAATAAACTCCCTATACAACCATAAATGTGCTAACTTGTAGTAATAATGATTTAATTTACTCACTAAATAAGCTAAAACAACATTATCACATCTTCTAATCTTGTATCTATCCATAAATAATCAAATTAGGTGTAATTTAAAATTCACTTTTAATTACATCAAATTAAATGATATATTTTAACAAAATACATCATTTCTTAAAAAATGTTTTGAATTTCAAGTAATAAAATATACTCTAAAGTTGTAAGGTTAAGATTAAATATGCCACCTTACACTCCTAAGAAGTATTTTTTAACAAAATTCCAAAAGCTGGTCCTCTTATTTATTTTTTTATCAAATGAAAAGTTGCCATGCATGACCTATGATTGTATGAATTGGATGACGAGTTATGAGTATTCCGGTAGTACCCATAACTCTGTTCGAGTTATTTTAATCAACAATGGCGTTCATAAATGAATATAGATCTCTTTATTTTTCTTGAGTGAGAATTTGCAATGACAAAAATTTCAATTCTATTTTTTTCTTCTTATTGGACATAATGTATTTTTGGATTACACATGACTCTTATTAAATGACTCTTATTAATAAGAATGGAAAATGGATATAAGTGAGGGAGAAAGAGGGAGAGAGAGAGAGAGAGAAGCACTAGGTTTTCACCATTTTATTAAAAAGTACAAGTTATACATAAATTGTTAGGCATGCTAGGTTTGTCCTCTCACCCCCACTTATAAGCTTAAGTCAAGACACAACTTTATAAAAAAACTATAGTTAAAAAATACAACTTGCATGGTAAGATCTAAAAGTACTTTTTATAAAAACACAAATAGAACTCATGTTGAAGTGTAAGGAACAAATTCAAGTGAAGTTGGTCATTGATTTAACTTAGTTTTGACCAATTCTAATGAAGTCTTTGTTAACTTCATATGATAATTTGAATGAGTTGCCTTAATAAAGTTAAATAGTGACAATAGTTAGTATAGAAGAAATATGTCAAATAACATTATTTATCTAAACTTGTTTGTATAGCCACCACAAATATGATGACTTATTTATAGTGAATTAACCATTTTTAAATGCCTACTTGCTTGAACTTGGATTTATTTGTTGTCAATGAGACCAACCTAACTTAGCTTAGCCAAATTTTGATGTGCATATATTTCACCTATTCTTTTATTGTTTTAAGAAAATTATGAAAGAATAAGGCAATGAAATTAATAATATGATGAGTTATTACATTGATTACATTGGACTATGTAAATTTGATAGTTGATCAATACATTATCTTCCTCAATTCTATGACTAATTTATGACCTCCTTCTAAGACCTTGCCTTAAATTTATCTCATCTTGAAGATATAGGGAAAATCAAGAAATGTACTCACAAGAAAGTCCTTTTAATGTTGTTGATTAGTTCAAAGGTGTATTAGAAGTGCAAAGCTACATTTGAATCTTCTTATGCACCCCACTTGGAGAAGAATAAATAATAGAAAATTAAGAAGATTAATACATGCAAGAAGTGAAGTTGTTGCTAAATTATCCATTATAAGTGATCTCTTTGAAACTCTCTCCTATAGAAAGATATTAGTTATGATTCTTCATTTTTGGGATCATCTTGGATGAAAACAACAAATAAACTAATGAATAATACTACAAATGTGCGCAATTGATTGGCAACTAACTAGGATTACTTGAGGCACTAACTTTTTGAACCTCAAGTTTAAAGTTGTCGAATATTAAGCTAATTACTTCAGGTTGAATCGATGAAGATAATAATAGTACTCATCTTTCAGTTCGAGCTTAAGCTTGAAAAAATAAAGATTTTTTATATATTTATTGAGCTCCAAATTTTTGGAGGAGTTAGGAAACTACATTTGAATGAGGTTGTTATTTTATACATACACTTTAATGTTCCTTCAAATGAAGTCAATAAAGATTCTAAACAAGCACTAAATGAAATGAGGATGAAATTGGGGAAACTTACATGCCACCTCAAATGAGTTGACTCATTGTTGCCTTTCTTCTTTAGTACATCACTTAATCACAAATACATTTTTTTGGATGTTATTCTTGATCCCATATCCAAGTGTTGATAGGAATATGTCATCCATCATCATGTTTGAAAACAGACAAATAGTTACAAGTCTTTTAATAAAAATTAGAGGAAAGATTCTAATTAAAATATGTTTTTTTAGAACATAGGAATGTGGTGTAATATCTAAATTTATATTACAAGAAAGAAAAGGGGGATTTATATTAATACCACACAATTCTCATGCATTTGCATATGTAATATCTAAATTTTGATATTTACTCATATAACATTTTTGTCTCCCAATCACATTAACATATTCACATGAAATGTAGAACTTTACTCTAGGGGAAAAAAAAAGCTATTTTCAATGTGATGTCAAATATTTGCATGTTATACAAGTAAATATCAAAGCTCAAGTACTAGATCTAAACAAACCTGCAAAGGTAGCAAGACCAAACTCGAAGGAGCACAAAGAGCATTCAAATCCTGCCGCAATCAAACTCAACTTTCTTAAGCATGATCCATGACAAAATCCCAGACAAGCACTTGTCCCTCAAAAATCTAATGACTACTCCTTCATTCTGCTGTATAAAACCCACAAGATATGCAGTAGCAATGAGATCAAAACTCCTCCATCTCCTCATCCTAGCATATTTCCCCAGGCTCTTCTCAATGATCCCATACTCTTCTTCCTCAGTTTTACAATGTTTTCCTGCAAGAAGAGCTTCGCCTAAGCTTCGAGCAAGAACAATGGCATCTTCAAGTGCAGAGCATCCTCCTTGGCCAATATCAGGGGTCATTGGGTGAAGTGCATCTCCAGCAACAGAAACATTGCCTTTGCTGATATTTCCAGTAAGTAGATCAAAAGGCCATCTGTATCTCAGTGGAGAGGAGACTGGTTCGCTTATTTCACTTTTCTCTATGACTGCAATGATTTCCTCAGGCAACTTTGTTTTGCGCATTTTACTTAGAATTAACTCCTTCATTATGCTTGCATTTTCTTCAGCTTCTTTGTCTGTGGAATGCAGAAGAAAGACAACGGCTTCTTCAATCAAAGAGTTTAATTATTTAAGTGCTTTAAAATAAGAAAAAATTCTGAATTTGTTGTGGGTGTCTAGGTATTTAACACAATTCTTAATGTGTTTACATATCCACAAAAACTTTCATATTTACATGCTTAACGCTCAAATCTTTAATATCACATCAAAAATGCCACTGCTAACATCTTAAAAGTGAAGCACACCATTATACATATATTTTTATGACACTAAAGGTTTATAGATGTAAATATCAAACTTCAAGTGTTAAATATGTAATTACAAAAGAATTGTCGGGTATTGATGTAAATTTTTCTTAATTTATTCATTAGGGGCAACCATCAATGGTTAATTATATCACAATTGTGATCCGAGAAACATTCTTAATTACAGATGTTAGTTCACATTTTAAATTCAACATAAAACTAAGATCCTGGCAAAGAGAATCTTAGAGATATGAAGTATGCGCGACTATTCTTCCACTTACAGGGAGATGCCCATGAGGATTCTTATAAATCAACCAAAAGGATCAGTCGCTTGACGGCAAATCCTCATATCCTATGGATAGGAAATATCTCTAACTGGAAGTACACATAATTTTAAGTCATGTTATTAAGACTAAATGTCTTAATGATGGACATGAGTCTTAAAATTTTGCCCTATAGACAATATGAACTAACATGCATGTGAGTGTTCTTATGCTAATGATAATGTAATATTATCTAAATCTACATGGAGAAACATCTAGGACTTGTAACATTAATAGGCATCGACTATCCCCATGATTATGACTTTAGGCCGGTAGCCTAAATTATGATAAAAAATTCGACATGATGCTGAACGGTGGGTTTGTCTACTTCAGGGGGTTACAAACTAAACAAATTTCATTTTAACTCTTTTAGAAAAAAAGTTCCTGAAGGGATTTCAAAACACTTTGTTTATTTCATCTTTGTAGAAGATTGCCCTATAAGCATGTTCAATGACTAGAGCATCCAAAGCATTCTTTATGATCACACGATTCACATGATCTCCCGCACATATATTTAAGCTAGGTGAACTAGTTTAAATAAGATCAATTTTAGTTAAATTCTTATCATCATACCGATATGTGGATATTGAATTACCAATATACTATAATAATAATGATGAAGATGAAGATGATGATGATAATAATAATAATAATAATAATAATAATATCATGTTTGAATCCATTAATAAGTTCTAATTTTGTTATAATTGATTCGAGTTGTTAGCAAGATAACTCGGGAAGATTAAATTTCATTTGTCTTACAATAATTTAATTACCTTTATTTTCACACCAATAAATGATTGTGATGCATGGTATGGGACCAAGTTGAGTTATCCGGAGCATTGTTGGTGAGACTTATGGAATTTTCATCACTCTTTTCAAAATAAGTAACAATTATTTATTAGAAGACAAGCATAACATTCGTTGTTCGGAGTCTTCTTCGTGTTACTTGTACAAGATTAATAGGTATTTTGTAGATTTATTAGTCATGTCTTTGTATTTTACTTGTATTATAATATACTTATTGTAGGATTATTTTATTTTTTTATAATGAAATAATAGTTTACATGAGTATAACTACTTTATTTTATTGTTGCACAAATTCATATTTATCCTATTGATTATTGTATTTGCAATATTTATTACTTTTGCATATTATTCCTATTTTAGATTCAATTTTTAAAAGTCATATTTGTAATTGATGTCGGACATACTACCATAATATTCTTATGACCTACAATATTTTATTGTTGCACGAATTCATATTTATCCTATCAATTATTGTGTTTGCAATATTTATTATTTTTGTATAATATTCCTATTTAGATTCAATTTTTTAAGTCATATTTGTGATTAATTTTGATCATACTGCTACAATATTCTTATGATCTGCATGTGATGTGTGAAATATAAACAATATTATAATGATATTATACTAGCATGAAGCCCTTGTTACTAGCTAGCCGAATCAATGGATTTTCTAAGAAATCGTCGAGTTTCTATGAAATTGGTGCATACATTTCTTTTTCTAAGATGTCTTAGAAAAGTGTGTGTGTGTGTATACCTAAACTTGTCTATTAAGATATTACCAAATAATGATAAATAACGGATAAATCATGTGTAAATATATGTAAGTACGCATCTAGATGTTAGTATACAAATGCATGGTTGGAAGTCACTCGTAATCGTAATCATAAGCACAATTCTATGTAGAATATATGGACTTCTGACACTCAGTTAATGTTGTTGTATACCATTATTGTTATAACCACTCGATAACATTGATTATCATACCAACATATATTGCAATCAACTCTTTTTGTTACTCATGTTACATGCCCTAATACATCACCATTTATGTTTTAATAAATAGAAGTGTGATATGGCAAACACACTTCTTGGTATTTTTTCATAGCAGTTCAAAGGCTTATGAGAGACCCTCACCACAAAAGCAAATTGTTCAATATTAAATTTTTTTTTGCCATTTTCAATTGATTTATAGTTGACCTCACTATTTATCAACTCATCATTCACCTCAAATATTTAAAATAAACTTGAAATAAAACACGCATAAAGAAAATCAAATATAATTAACTTTAATCATATCCTAAAGTTAGACCAAATTGCAGCTTGATGAGAGAATATTCTGAAATTATTGTTTTTATGCTCTGAAAATATTGTTTTCTTTACAAGTCATCGTAGTATTTGAAATTTCATATTATGAGCTACATTTTATTCAATATCAACGTATGAATAACATGCAGTAAGTTGAGGCGACTATCAGATGACTTTTTATGTAAAATTTTGTGTGGTGAGCATTCATGCATGAAAATTCATCCAAAATATTTTTTTTAATGAAGTGTAGTTTTGCAAAACAAACTTCGCAAATGCATCTGTACCGTCAAAACATTTTAATTAACCACTCCGCGCCGAAATCGAACTTTGTTTTGGGGCTCAGCTAACCTACAATAATTAGAATAATTTGAACGATAATTGCGATTTCGCCTTCGAAATGAACTCAAATAAACTCCAAACTCAAAATATAGTCAAATTGAGCTGAGAACATCAAAATTTACTAATTTGAAGCTCATTTAAAATTTCAACAAAAATCTCAACTTTCTCTTTCTTAGAGTGGGGCCCACATTTTGACCTCAATTTTTTGATATGGGGTCCACTTCTTGCTGATCTAAATGAGCTAAAAATAAAGAAAAAAATCCCTTCAATCCAGGTCCTAGGGTCCAGGCTTATAGCACGTGAGGGCACCTTGGCGCTACTAAATTGGCGCCTAGGCTCCACCTGGCGCCTTGGCGATACTCAAAGTAATACCTTAGCTCCAATGCACCATGGCACCACCAAAGTGACGCTTAAGAGCCTCATCGTTTTCTCTTCCAGAAAGAAGCACTTCCAACTGTTTCCTGCCTTTGGCCGTCGATGATTCGAGAAACTTTCCTCGATCTGTGGGATCCCCTTCAATCCATGGGAGCTCCAATTGTTGCCGCTCCAATCAACAACGATCAGGGGAGGTGATCACTATTCTAATCGACAGTAATCGGGGGTCGATTTGTGAGAGCTAACTATTCCCGTCGTCGACCCTGAGCTACTGATGCCTATAAATACCTCCCTTTCTCCATAGTCCAGGATGCTTGCCCACTCCTCCTCCCTCTCCAGCGTGCTCTCTCTCTCTTCGACGTGCTCCCTCTCCTACATGGCGGTCTGCTTCCTCCACTCTGATCAGTCAGCTAGTATTTTTTTTTATTCTTATTTATTTAATTAGTTTTTTTTAATTTATTTTCATGTAAAAAAACCAATTAAATGAATTAATAGGCTAGGCTCGGGTTCGGGTCAGACTCAGGATAGACCGAACACAACCTAGCCAGACCCTAGCCTAATCGTAGCCCAACCTAGCATCTACCTAGCCCAACATAGCCTGATGCTAGCTCGAACTTAGCCCAACCTAGCCTAACCCTAGCCTAAACCCAGCCAAACTTGAGCTTAGTCCTAACATAGGTTTCATGTGTAGGCTTTTTTTATGCATATATAATGTTTCATGCATATTATTTTTAATGTGTCGTATATAATTTTTGTGTGTCAACAAAAATAAAAATAAAAAAAGGAAGGGGAACCTCTCATAAGTAGGTTCTTTTTGTGAATATTTTAATAAAACATGTCATTTATAAGTTTTTTTAGTTCAAAATCATTTAAATAACTTAAAACTTTAAAAAATTTTAAATAATTTAAATAACCACTACTTAATTTGAAAATGATTTAAAATTAATTTAACAATAATTCAAAATAATTTAAAACAAATTTAAAATTAATTTAAAATAAATTCATATTTAATTTAAAAACTAAAAAATAAATTTAAAAAAACTTAAAAAACAACTTAAAGCATTTAAAAACTTTAAAAATAATTTAAAAATTCAACATTTTAAGACAACTTATGAATATTAATAATAAATAATTTAACAATAATTTAAAAATAATTTTAAAAACTCTTTTAAAATAATTCAAAACTTTTAAAAATATTTTTCGATAACTTAAATCAAATACTTTTCATGCCTAGACCACACAAATTAACCATCTAAACCAAATAACTTGAGGACTTAAACTAATCACCTTACACACTTAAACCAAAATACTTTAATTACTTAATTCAAAATGAAATAAAATATTAAAATATTTAAACCAAATAAGTTAATCCTAACACTTCAATTAAATAAAAACTCAGGATCACTTAAACACTTAAATTAAATAACATATTAAGACACTTAAACTAAAAAAAAATTCAAAGATTTAAACTTCCAAAGTAAACCTTTTAAAACTCAAGCAACTCAAAGTCTTTAAACCATTTGAAGCTTTAAAAGGAATTGAATCATATAAGCTTGCAAGTGACATAGAACTTCAAACACGAAGAACCAAACTCAATGGCAAAACTAAAAGGAGGACACC